GACCGAACGGCGGCGGGCGGGCCTGGGGCGACCAGTGCGGCCGGTGGACAAGCGACAACTAGCAGAAACAAGCAAAACCGATGCATTTTGCCAGCCGAGGGGCCGAGCGACCGCGGGGCGGCGGGCGAGCCTGAGGCGACCAGTGCAGCCGACGGACAAACGAAAACAAACAGAAACAAAGAAAGCCAGGGAATGGGGCCAGCCGAGGGGCCGAGCGACCGAAAGGCGGCGGGCGTGCGCAGGGCGACCAGTGCAGCCGACGGACAGGCGAAAACAAACAACAACAAAAAAAAGCCGAGCGACCGAACGGCGGCGGGCGGGCCCGGGGCGACCGGTGCAGCCGACGGACAAGCGAAAACAAACAAAAGCAAACACAACCAACGCATTTGGCCAGCCGAGGGGCCGAGCGACCGCGGGGCGGCGGGCGAGCATCGAAAACGGCAAAGGGCGGCGACGCGACAAGCGAAACAACAGAAACCAAGACAGCCATGGGAACTTGGGCCAGGCCGAGGTGCCGAGCGACCGAAAGGCGGCGGGCGTGCGCAGGGCGACCAGTGCAGCCGACGGACAAGCGAAAACAAACAACAACAAACAAAACCAGTGACTTGGGCCAGCCGAATGGCCGAGCGACCGCGCGGCGGCGGGCGGGCCTGGGGCGACCAGCGCAGCCGACGGACATGCGAAAACAAACAAAAACAAACAAAACCAATGCATTGGGCCAGCCGAGGGGCCGAGCGACCGCGGGGCGGCGGGCGAGCCTGGGGCGACCAGCGCAGCCGACTGACAAGCGAAAACAAACAGAAACAAAGAACGCAGGGGAATGGGGCCATCCGAGGGGCCGAGCGCCCGCGGGGCGGCGGGCGTGCGCAGGGCGACCAGCGCAGCCGACGGACAGGCGAAAACAAACAAAAACAAACAAAACCAGTGAATTGGGCCCTCCGAGGGGCCGAGCGACCGAACGGCGGCGGGCGGGCCTGGGCGACCAGCGCAGCCGACGGACAAGCGAAAACAAACAAAAACAAACAAAACCAATGAATGAGGCCAGCCGAGGGGCCGAGCGACCGCGGGGCGGCGGGCGAGCCTGAGGCGACCAGCGCAGCCGACGGACAAGCGAAAACAATCAGAAACAAAGATATCCAAGGAAAGGGGGCCAGCCGAGGGGCCGAGCAACTGAAAGGCGGCGGGCGCGCGCAGGGCGACCAGTGCAGCCGACGGACAAGCGAAAATAAACAAAAACAAACAAAACTAATGAATTGGGCCAGCCGGGGGGCCGAGCGACCGAACGGCGGCGGGCGGGCCCGGGGCGACCGGCGCAGCCGACGGACAGGCGAAAACAAACAAAAACAAACAAAACCAATGCATTTGGCCAGCCGAGGGGCCGAGCGACCGCGGGGTGGCGGGCGGGCCTGAGACGACCAGTGCAGCCGACGGACAAGCGAAAACAAACAAAAACAAACAAAACCAGTGACTTGGAACAGCCGAGGGGCCGAGCGACCGAGCGGCGGCGGGCGGGCCTGGGGCGACCAGCGCAGCCGACGGACAAGCGAAAACAAACAGAAACAAACAAAACCAATGCATTTGGCCAGCCGAGGGGCCGAGCGACCGCGGGGCGGCGGGCGTGCCTGAGGCGACCAGCGCAGCCGACGGACAAGCGAAAACAAACAGAAACAAAGAAAGCCAAGGAAAGGGGCCAGCCGAGGGGCCGGGCGACCGAAAGGCGGCGGGCGTGCGCTGGGCGACCAGTGCAGCCGACGGACAAGCGAAAACAAACAAAAACAAGCAAAACCAATGAATTGTGCCAGCCGAGGGGCCGAGCGACCGAGCGGCGGCGGGCGGGCCTGGGGCGACCAGCGCAGCCGACGGACAGGCGAAAACAAACAAAATCAAACAAAACCAATGAATTTGGCCAGCCGAAGGGGCGAGCGACCGCGGGGCGGCGGGCGAGCTTGAGGCGACCAGTGCAGCCGACGGACAGGCGAAAACAAACAAAAACAAAGAAAGCCAGGGAATGGGGCCAGCCGAGGGGCCGAGCGACCGAAAGGCGGCGGGCGTGCGCAGGGCGACCAGTGCAGCCGACGGACAAGCGAAAACAAACAAACAATTAACAAACCAGTGAATTGGGCAACCGAGAAGCCGAGCGACCGAACGCCGCGCGGGCGGGCTTGGGGCGACCAGCGCAGCCGACGGACAAGCGAAAACAAAAAAAAGCAAAGCAACGCAACCAATGCATTTGGCCAGCCGAGGGGCCGAGCGACCGCGGGCGGCGGGCGAGCCTGGGGCGACCAGTGCAGCCGACGACAAGCGAAAACAAACAGAAACAAAGAAAGCCAGGGAATGGGGCCAGCCGAGGAGCCCAGCGACCGAAAGGCGGCGGGCGTGCGCAGGGCGACCAGTGCAGCCGACGGACAAGCGAAAACAAACAACAACAAACAATACCAGTGAGTTGAAACAGCCGAGGGGCCGAGCGACCGAAAGGCGGCGGGCGGGCCTGGGGCGACCAGTGCAGCCGACGGACAAGCGAAAACAAACAAAAACAAACAAAACCAGTGACTTGGAACAGCCGAGGGGCCGAGCGACCGAGCGGCGGCGGGCGGGCCTGGGGCGACCAGTGCAGCCGACGGACAAGCGAAAACAAACAAACACAAACAAAACCAATGTATGGGGCCAGCCGAGGGGCCGAGCGCCCGCGGGGCGGCGGGCGAACCTGGTGCGACCAGCGCAGCCGACGGACAAGCGAAAACAAACAAAACCAGTGAATTTGGTCAGCCGGGGGGCCGAGCGCCCGCGGGGCGGCGGGCGAGCCTGGGGCGACCAGCGCAGCCGACGGACAAGCGAAAACAAACAAAACAAACGAAACGGTGGGAAGGAGCCAGCCGAGGGGCCGAGCGACCGCGGGGCGGCGGGCGAGCCTGGGGCGACCAACGCAGCCGACGGACAAGCGAAGACGAACAACAACAAACAAAATCAGGGAATGGGGCCAGCCGAGGGGCCGAGCGACCCGACAGGCGGCGGGCGTGCGCAGGGCGACCAGTGCAGCCGACGGACAGGCGAAAACAAGCAAAAACAAACAAACCCAATGCATTTGGGCAGCCGAGGGGCCGAGCGACCGCGGGGCGGCGGGCGAGCCTGCGGCGACCAGTGCAGCCGACGGACAAGCGAAACCAAACAAAAACAAACAAAACCAGTTAATTGGGCCAGCCGAGGGGCCGAGCGACCGCGGGGCGTCGGGCGAGCCTGAGGCGACCAGTGCAGCCGACGGACAAGCGAAAACAAGCAGAAACAAAGAAAGCCAGGGAATGGGGCCAGCCGAGGGGCCGAGCGACCGAAAGGCGGCGGGCGAGCCTGGGGCGACCAGTGCAGCCGACGGACAAGCGAAAACAAACAAAAACAAACAAAACAAGTGAATTGGGCCAGCCGAGGGGCCGAGCGACCGAAAGGCGGCGGGCGTGCGCAGGGCGACCAGTGCAGCCGACGGACAAGCGAAAACAAACAGAAACAAAGACAGCCAGGGAATGGGGCCAGCCGAGGAGCCGAGCGACCGAAAGGCGGCGGGCGGGCATGGGGCGACCAGTGCAGCCGACGGACAAGCGAAAACAAACAACAACAAACAAAACCAAGGAATGGGGCCAGCCGAGGGGCCGAGCGACCTCGGGGCGGCGGGCGAGCCTGGGGCGACCAGCGCAGCCGACGGACAAGCGAAAACAAACAAAAACAAACAGAACGGTGGAAAGGAGCCAGCCGAGGGGCCGAGCGACCGAAAGGCGGCGGGCGGGCCTGGGGCGACCAGTGCAGCCGACGGACAAGCGACAACAAACAAAAACAAACAAAACCAACGCATTTGGCCAGCCGAGGGGCCGAGTGACCGAAAGGCTACCAGTGCGATCGACGGACAAACGACAACAAGCCAGAACAACCGAAACCAGCCAAGGAATGGGGCCATCCGAGGAGCCGAGCGACCTAGCGCTACAGCGCGCCGCTAAGACAGGGCCCGGAAACTTGTAAGTAATCTACTTCTTGTAATTGCTGTTGCTGTTGTTTTTTTGGGCGGCCCCGAATGCAATCTACTTCTTCCGCCTTCCTACTTCATGTTGGAATTCACCCTTTCTCCAAGCTCCCTTTTCATCGGCCCCATACAACGGTTCATTTCCATTGAGGGAACTTGCTCGTTGAAAGACAACCGTGTGGAGCATGCCAAAACATTGTTCTCGGGATTTCACCCCCACGGATCAACCTGACTGCTGCGTCTTGGCGAGCCGGAATCGTGCCAGAACGCCGTTCTTGGAACTTCAACGCCGCGAATCAATATAATTGTTGCACCCGCATAGTCCTGAATCCTTCCACAGCGCCTTTCTGGTACGTTGATCATGGGAATCCGTGGAACTCTTCCAAATTCAAAAAACGAGTGTACGCGGCGCTAAGGCGAGAATCACATTTTGAAAACCACCCGCCCTCAATCCGTGAAACTCTGGCAAATTTTCAAAACGAATGTGCGCGGCGCTAGGGCGAGAGCCACATTTTGAAAACGACTCGCCCTCAATCCGTGAAGCTCTCGCAAACTTTAACGAATGTGCGCGGCGCTAAAGTGAGAGCCACATTTTGAAAACCACCCGCCCTCAATCCGTAAAGCTCTGGCAAATTTTCAAAACGAGTGTGCGCGGCGCGCAGGCGAGAGCCGCATTTTGAAAACCACCCGCCCTCCATCAGTGAAGCCGTTGCCACTTTTTAAGCTTCAGAGTCATAAGAGGTGAAGAAGTGTCAGGCGAAACGCTGGGCCCGCCTTAAACATTGGCCTCGGGGTGCGACAGGGAGAAGTTATTTTTTAAGGAAAAGGAATGGAGGAGTTGGAGGAGGAGGAGGAGGAGGAGGAGGATGCGGCGGAGGACGAGGAGGAGGAGGAGGCGGAGGAGGAGGAGGAGGAGGAGGAGGAGGTGGAGGGGCGGACGGGCGCCCGGGCGGAGGACGGAGGTTGCCGCCCGGATGCGAGCGCGCAGCGGCCCGACAGGCTTTGGCGCTCGCTGGCCAGAAGGGGCCCACGGCGGCCACCCCCGGCAGCGAGGCGGGGCGCCTGCGCACCTCGGCGTTGTCGTCGTCGTCGTCGTCGTCGTCGTCGTCATCGTCGTTGGCGTCGGCGTCGTCGTCGGCATCGTCCTTGGCGTCGGCGTCGGGAAGAAAATTATCGAGGGGGGATGGGGGAGGGGGGCATGGGAGATGGCGAGTCTGACGAAGAAGGCGGCGACGAGCACAATGACGGCAGCGGCGGGGGCGAGGACGAAGACCACGAACATCACGACGACGAGGACAAGGACGAACTTGACGACGGCGACGGCGAGGACGAGGACGAGGACGAGGCCGACGACGATGACGATGACGATGACGACGACGATGCCGACGACGACGCCGACGACGACGACGAGGACAATTATATCTGCGACCACGACAGGGACTCGACGAGAAGGAGGAAGCGGAGGATGAGGAAGAGAAGGAGGAGGACGACGATGACGACGACGATGCGTCATTCCTGGCAGGCCTCTTTTTGTGCGGGCTCGCTCGTCTCAGGCTGGCCCCGCTGCCACCCCGGGCCTGTCTGAGCCCCTTGTGGGGGTGTGCGCCCGTCGGGCTGCAGCATCACTCACACCGCTAGGTCACATTCTCCTTCTCCTTCTCGCTCCCTCCCTCCTCCTCCTGCTTCTCCTCCTCCTCCTCCTCCCTCCTCCCTCCTCCCTCCTCCCTCCTCCCTCCTCCCTCCTCCCTCTTCCCTCCTGCCTCCTGCCTCCTCCCTCCTCCCTCCTCCCTCCTCCCTCCCCATCTCCTCCTCCTCCTCCTCCTCCTCCTCCTCCTCCTCCTCCTCCTCCTCCTACCCATCCTCCTTCCCCTCTTCCTCACCCTCTTTTTCCGTCTCCGCAGTCTGAGCCATTTTCTCAGGTCCCACCTTTTCCTCCTGCTCCTGCTGTTCCTGTTCCTCCTGCTCCTCCGGCTTCTCCTCCTCCTCCTCCTCCCTCTCCTCCTCCGCTCTCTTCCCCTCCACCTTCCTTTGCTGCTGCTGCTGCTTCTTCCTCCTCCTCCTCCTCCGCCTCCTCCTCCCTCTCCTCCCCTTCCCCTCTCCCTCGTCCTCCTCCTCCTCCTCCTCTTCTCCTCTCCTCCTCCTCCTCCTCCCCCTCCTCCTCCCCCTCCTCCTCCTCTTCCTCCTTTTCTCCAGTACATTTTCCGTAGGGAGAGAGAGAGAGAGAGAGAGAGAGAGAGCAAACTCTTTCCTGTAGCACCCCCAGACGTGTCGTTAGGGCGTGCCGACGCAAACATTCGTTTCAAAGGTCGCAGCATTTTTTAAGGACTCGTAAGATTGACGTCCCAGGAATGCGTTCTGGCGAGATTCGGATTGCCAGAACGCACCAATCACATTGATTTGCGGTGTTGAATTCTTGATGCCTGTGACAGAGACGCCACGCAAGCAGCTGCCTCAGGTGGGCCCAGTGGAGATGATCGCCGGTACCCGTGGAGCAAACCAAGAGAGGCCACATGTTCCCCCCCGCTGTACACCGACTACAGAGTTGCCACACAGACAGGCGCATCCAGTTCAGCCGCCCAATGGGATTCATGGCAGTCCTGGGATGGGTGGGACCGCCGGCAGGGCACGTGGGCCGACACAGACTGGAGGACCAGGGAGAAACGAACTGCCCCCAGAGGAGACGTTCACTATGCTGACAAACGACAGCGTGGATGGGACTCTGCCCGCAAGTGAGCTCGCCTGGTCTATCCAAAAGGTACGTTGTCTCCTCCATTTCCCCAGGCCCAGGAAGGCAACCCCATCGTCGAGGGACAGTCGGCTAGGGCTCCATCGCACTCTCCCTGCTCTTGCCCTCCCCTGCTCTCTCAAGAACGCTCCACGAAGCTCGTCTGCGGCTCAAAACACTTTTCCCCCAATGACGACACTCAGGATCGCTACTCTGCCCGTCTCGGAACGCAACTCATGCTTTCTGGACATCAATCACCTCGGACAGCTTGGGACAGCATCCACCTCCCTGTACAACGTGGTCTCCATCGCGCTGACGCGGTGGGCCATATGGGACCCTTGAGTGCCCAACAGAGGCCTATGGGTTGGCAGCCAAATGGTCCTCGATCGCCCCTTTGCTGCACACAGGCGCGCATTTGGTGGGGACGGAAGACTACACTGACAGCTGCCCCCACGGGCCACCGCCGACGGGGTGGCTCCTTCACGACAGGGGCTCGTTTCACCGCAGAGACAGGCCTTGGCCTTAATACACTCGTGTCACCTCCTGGGGGTGAGGTGCACCTCTCACAACACTGCGTCTAGACTCCCACGGTGCATCGTGGCTTCTTAGTCCGTGTGGTAATGGCTGCAATAGTTCCTGCCCGCGGTTCACTTTGGCTTTGTTCACACGGACATGGGCCCGTCTCGCCCGCTTGGGCACTCACTTTGGATGGCTGGGGCCGCAGGCCTAAGGCCCGCCCCATACGCTCCACACGCTGCACATCCGACGACTGGTGACCTTGCTCTGGTGGCGTTTCCCCCCCACCAGGCAGGCGCCTTCTGCTGACTACATTCCGACTACGCCATGTTGGGTCCTCGACTGTCTGTGTCGCCACATGGCTCTCCTCCTCCTCCTCCTCCTCCTTTGTATTCAAGTGATTTGCGGCTATCGGCTGCGGCCCCCCCTCTTCCTTCACGACGAGTGCAGTGGCGGGCCCTTCGACGTGTTCGTTCTCACGCAATAGGGTGCGCTCATTGTGGCACTGGCAGGTCGGCCCACGCCGGCTTCCTGCACCTGGGGCGCAGTCTGGCAGGGACGTGCTCACTGGTCTGGCGTCCCGCCAACAGCTTGCCTGCGACGTCGACCTCCTCTGGAGGGCTCCTTGATTCGGACTCCAGTGGTGCAAGGCGGTCAGGCGGCTCTCATTCTTTCGCCCGCCAGCAGTTCACAGCCGACGGTTGGTGGTAACGTTCTGGCCCACGTGACGTTCCCCCCTTGTGCGTTGGTGTTCCTACTCGGCTTCACGTCAAGTCCGCTGGCGCCTGGTTCTGTGGAGGCCAGCTTCGAGCACATGAGGTGCTTTGTGAGTGAGGCTTACGTGCTCCTTTCTGCTCGCCTTCGTTGCACTTTCACGGGCGGGCTTCTGCCAAGGTTTCAGCTGCCCGCTGTGCCCTGCCCTTCGCCGTCTGGTCTGTCGGGTGTTGGCGCCACTGTGCGACGCCCCGCTGTCAGTCGTCGGCTGCCGTTTTGGATCGGCTAAATGAGGTTCATTCTGTTCCTCGCATGTGCATTCCGGCGTTGGCTTTTGGCCCGCTGGCAATTATCTTGCTTGTTGCCCCAAGCTTGTTTCGACCCGCTCTCTGGAATCGTCCGTGGAGCCGCAGATCAAAAAGTATCCCCGCCAGTGTCGTTCGGTTCCCCCTTGCGCTGTGGGGTGGTCTGGCCAGTGTTGGCTTCGTTACGGGGTGGTTCAGCCTTTCGCAGCAGGTACAGCATTCCAGGCTCACCTTCAGCTTTCCCCAGTTGCGTTGCGCCACGGCTCACGACAGCTCAGCCTTTCTGGCTAGCTCAAGTCGTCCGTGCGTTTGGAGCCTGGCGCCCCACTGGCGACTCACTCTTGCCTCCCACTTGCCCCCACCCAGCACGACGGATTTGACCTTCCTGGTTCACGTCTCTACTGTGTGGGTCGTGCCCCCACTTAGATTGACGGGCTTGGTTATCCTGGTTCACGTCTCAGACTGTGGCAGGCACCGAATTCCATGACAGTTTGTCTGTGCACGTGCACGAGCTCTCAGGATAATTACCCCTGCCGTCAGCTCCCCTTCAGCTTCGCGGCTGCTTTGAGAGAGCGGGCCGGCCAGCCTGTGCATGTTGTAGCTAAGTCGCCTCGTTCGTGCCCCGGACTTTGCTTCTTGCCGCCTGACCTTTGTCTCGCGACCGCGACCAAAAAGTATCCCCACCAGCCCATCCATAATTGATTGCTAGTTCTCTTGAGGCCTCTTGGAGGCTATCTTGAGCCATGCTCGGCTAGAGGCTGTTGTAGGCTATCTTGAGCCATGCTCGGCTATCTTGGGCCATCTTGAAGCTGCCTTGAGGCCTCTTGGAGGGCTGTCGGAGGCAATCTTGAGCCATGCTTGGCTATCTTAGGCCATTTTGAAGACCATCTTGGGCTATTTGGGGCTCTCTTGGAGCCATCTTGGGCCAAAAAGGGCGGGGTGGAGGGTCTTTGGAAGAGGCTGGGAGGCCTCTTGGGGCCATCTTGGGCCCCATGGCTCAAAAAGAGGAGGTCCCTCAATTAGCATCGCACCCTTCGGAGGCTCCAAAATGGCGTCTTGGGGCTCTCTTGGGGCGCTCTTGGGCGCCTCTTGGGCGATCTTGGGGCCGTCTTGGAGCCCTTTTGGGGCTCTTTGGGGGGTTTGGGAGTCTTGGGCACCATGGCTCAAACAGAGGGGGGGGGAGAAATTCCCCCCCCCCTGGAGGCCCTCAAGCGGCATCTTGGGGCCCTCTTGGAGCGCTTTTGGGCGCCTCTTGGGCGATCTTGGGGCCGTCTTCGGCTTTCTTGGGCCCCTCTTGGGCCTCTTTTGGGCCATTTTGGGGCCATCTTGAGGCTTCCAAAGCCCATCGGAAGCGAAAGGGCGATCATGCCAAAAACATTGATTTTCCCAAGGCTTTTGAACGGTTTGACATCTTGGAGGGCGCCGTGGAGGGCTCGAAGGGCACTTGGATCCGTCTTGGGGCTGTCTTGGGGCCTCTTGGGGGTATGTCGGAGGCTATCTTGACCCATCTTGAAATAGCATGGGCCATCTTGGAGGCCATCTTGCGACTTCGAAACCCTCTTGGAGCAATCTTGGGCCATCTTGGACGTTCTAACGCCTCGGTACCCCCCCCTTCCTGGCCCAGGGGAGGGGGTAGGGGGAGGGATTTCAGTGGAAGAGAGAAGAACACACGCGTTATATCACCTAAGCCCAGAGGGCTGGTGGGATTCCCAGGTATGGTGTTCTGGCACGATCTAGCATTGGGAGGACGCAGCCGTCACGTTGATTCGTGGCGTTGAAGTCTGGGGATTGAG